TACACAATCAAGTTCTTTACAACATGAAGAGTATGCAAAATATATTCCTACAAAAGATGTTAAATCAAAACATGTTAAAAAAATCGGCAATCAGAATCAGAAATCATCGATTACTTTTTTTTTGATCTGCAAATTTCACATTTTTTTGCAAACCGCAATAAAAATACATACATTTGATTTAAGTTCAATACTACGTATAAATCTATTGGATATTTACAGATTTATCAAAGGCATTAATTGTAAAGTTCTTTTCTATGTAATCTAATTTTTATTTAAAATCTTGAGTGACGATATATAAAAACATTGGGTACTTATATAAGTGTTTTGTATCATTTGTTACGTACCATATCTATATATACCATATATCTTATTATTATTTTTTTTTTACTATATATTACAAATTATGATAAATAAAATTTTAGACAGATTTGCCAATTAAATTTTTTAAATTTGAATTACAGATTTTGCCTTAAATTTTTAAATTTAAATCTACGAATTACAGATTTTGTCGAATTAATTTTTACGATTTGTCAGTCATGCCAATAGAACATTTATAAATTAGATCTCGATAAATGTACTTGAATTTTGCAATCCATTCAAGGTTTTAATGATTAAAGGTATTTCTGGACGAATACTGGGATCTTTGTCCCAACATCTCTTATAGTTCAACATATTTGAGAGGAGTGTTTTTTGCTGGAATTTCTCTAAATCCATTTAGAATCTTTAAACAATTGCTAGCAGAGTCAGTTGTTTGAATGGTGATTGGCCGCTTGAGATCTCCCAAAAAACAACTCCAAGACTGTAAATGTCGGATTTTTTATCCCTTCGAAGCATCGGGGATCTATATATGCTGGCATTCCTTTAATTCAATGAAAATAACAATTATTGATATTTTTTTATAGAGGGAGCATTAGGGTCTCGTCTTTTTGAGCGTAAGGTTCCGTCATTTTAAGTTTAAGGCTTCGTCTTTTGTCAGAAGTATTTGTGGTTTCGACTTTTGTCTTTCGTCATCATGCGAAAAAGGTTTCGTCTAACAACTATACAGTAGCCTTTTATGAACATAAAATGTAGAAAGCCCTACTTACACTTGTTTATTATAAGTAATTATTATAACTTTATGTTTTCGTAATTTATTTTAAATACTACATAATAAAATTGCAATATGCATATATAAAATTTTTTTGATCACTAAATATTTTACTAATAATTGTTTATAGTTCTTTTAGTTTATAATTTACAAGCAAATTTAGTTATTATTTTATAGATAACAATTTACAAACAAGTATTACAAACAGTTTATTTTACTAATAAATATAATTAATTTTATAGTGCACATATTTTAAATTTGTGCACATATATTTTATAGTATTATAAAAATTATAGTGCACTAATTTTTAAAAATATTCACATAAATTAAGTGTACAATGTGCACAACTTTCACATGTTTTTGAGGTGAGATTTTATACACTGGTCACCACAGTGACATAGTATAAAGATGTCACGAACGACATGTGACATAGATCCACATGGTTAGTAGCCAATAGGAGACGATTTTTGTCTCATAGTGTTTATCTCATAGCATTTATACACAACTGCATATTATATATTAGATTTTTAAGATCAGCAATTATTGTTATATAAAGAATTTTTTTTTTATCGTACATATTTATTATCTGTTACTCTCTCTTAATGTTTTTTAGATATTCTTTGAACTTCGCTTCTAGAAATTCCTTTCGTCATTTTTGCATATTGTTTTTTGTTTTTTGTTTTTTAGCATGTTTAGTATGCCAACTTCATTTTTCTTTTTAGATTTCTCCCTTTTGGCATTTATATCGTAATCTTTATAATGAACTTTTGGCTTCGCTTCTCATATTCTTGGCGTTTTTTCTACAAATATCTTTTTTTTTAGTATGCTAACTTCTTTCTTCTTTTCTTTTTTTTTAGGTTTCTAGGTTACTTTCTTATTGCTTTGACATTTGTGGTATGAACTTTAGAATAGACCTTTGACTTTACTTTTGGAGTTTTTTCAGCATTTTTGGCATTTTTTTCTTTTTATTATATATGAATATTCTTTTTTTTTAGTATACTAACTTCTTTATTCCATTTCTTTTATTTCTTTTTAGGTTTCTAGGTTTCTTTCTTGTTGCTTTCAATGTTTGTGGTGTGAACTTTAGAATAGATCTTTGACTTCATTTTTGGAGTTTTTTCAATATCCTTGGCATTTTTTTCCTTTTATATGAATATTCTTTTTTTTAGTATACTAACTTCTTTATTTTGTTTCTTCTATTTCTTTTTAGGTTTCTAGGTTTTTTTCTTGTTGCTTTTGATGTTTGTGGTGTGAACTTTAGAATAGACCTTCGACTTCGCTTTTGGAGTTTTTTTCGGCATTCTTGGTGTTTTTTCCTTTTACTGTATATGAATATTCTTTTTTTTAGTATACTAACTTCTTTATTCTATTTTTTCTATTTCTTTTTAGGTTTTTAGGTTTCTTTCTTGTTGCTTTCAACATTTGTAGTATAAATTTTAAAATAGACCTTCGACTTCACTTTTGGAGTTTTTTCAGCGTTTTTGGCATTTTTTTCCTTTTATATAAATATTCTTTTTTTTTTTTTAGTATACTAACTTCTTTATTCTGTTTCTTCTATTTTTTTTAAATTTCTAGATTTCTTTCTTATTGCTTTCGACGTTTATGGTGTGAACTTTAGAATAGATCTTTGATATCTTTGCTTCCTTTCAGTGTTTTTAAAAATTTTTTTTCGAATATCCATTCTTTTTTTTTTATTAGTATACTAACTTTGTTTTATTTCTTTCATTTCTTTTTAGACTTCTAGGTTATATCCCTGTTGCTTTTAACGTTTATGGCATGGATCTTTAAAATGGACTTTAGACTTCACTTTCTAGAGTATTTTTCATTAGCTTAGAGTTTTTTTTTGAATATTCTTTTTTTTTTTTTTTTTTTTTTACTAGTATACTTAATTCTTTTGTTTCTTTTTAGGTTTCTAGGTTCCTTCCTTGCTGCTTTTGACGTTTATGGTGTGAATCTTTAAAATAAACTTTCGACTTCACTTTTTGGAGTTTTTTCAGGGTCTTGATTTTTTTTAATATAAGTATTTTTTTTTTTTACCAATATACTAACTTTTTTTTCTGTTTCTTTTTAGATTTTTAGGTTTCTTTATTGCTTTTGACATTTATAATACGGATATTTAGAATAGGCCTTTGGTTTAGTATGATCTTTGCTGTTAGAGTTGATGTTGAGTTATTAGTGTTTTCTGAAATTTTTGTTAGGATTTTTACAGAGACTTCATTGTATTTTAGTTGTGATAAATCGTTTTTTTTTGTATAACGATTAAATTGGTTTAAATTGTTTAATAAAAAAAATACTACTGCATTATATAAATTATTTAATAGTTTTATATTTTATGTATAAACCACTATAAATATCTGATATGTATCCAGTTTTTATATAATATTAAGAAAAATAAAATACCTATCAGACTATTTGAATACAAATCGGGATAACCAATATAACTATAATAGGTATTATAAAGCTTATTATAAAAACCTGATATGTATTCAGTTTTCTAGCAATATAGTAAAAAATAAATTACAAATAAGATACCAATTGGATAACTGATATTAATATGATCTATACTATATATATTTTCAAATAGTGCACTATTTTTATAATTATATTGTAAACAATAAGTTACAAATCAGATAAATATCAGATAACTGATATGAATATGATTTGTATCTTATATATTTCCAAATAGTGCCCTATCTGCGCCAAAGATCTGTTTATAATTAGAGGCAAATCGGTTACTTTTAGGTAAAGCATACTAGTATTCTTGCATATATCTATAATACAAATATAGGAGACCTATCGGGAACCTGATAGTTAACCGGTAAGAATTTATTCGACCTGTATACATATAAGATAAATCGTTTTGAAATGCCACTTCTGCTTATCTGTGATATTGACGCTATATAAGTATTACATTTTTAATCGCAAGTAGGCTTCTTGCTAATGAAACTACTTCAAGCTTTTGCTAGATACTCTAACAATTAAAGCAATTAATTGGTGATATACTTGTTTACAATATACAACCACTTTTAACTAATCAAGACCTTGCAATTGTTTCAGCAGTTTGAACTGGGTTACTACATGTAAAGCACTAGCTTTGCATTTGGCATATTGAACAAAATCTTATTAAGAACCTAAGTAGTAAGCTTAAAGATAAATTTATAGCATTCTTTAAAGATTTCAAAACTACAATAGTTGAAAGTGATGAAAATCAATTTAATATTCTATAGGATCACCTGTTAACTGAATATCCTGAGGCTAAAATATATATAGTAGAGCAATAGAAACACTTTATCTATATGTAGGCATATTGTTATACAAACAAGAACATTAACTATGGAATACAGACAACACAATGGTCAGAAGCCAGTATTGTATATTTAAAATGTATGTTAAGTCATACAGTGCCCTTACCTGAATTAATAAGTGTATTGAAAAAGTTAAGTCATCACCAACTTCAGCACTCCCAATATCAACAGTATCATCTATGTAGAAGCATTCGTCAACAATGCTCTGAATTGTTAAAAGATATTTCAATAGTCATTTCAGATTTTGTGTATTCTATATTATTGGAGCAATACAATATAGCCACTATGTATAAAATTGAAATGCAAGAAGGTGGTATACTCCAAGTCTATCATAATGAAAGTTATAAATATATAGTATATCAAGTTGAAACTGAATATACTTGTAGTTGTGATTATAGCACACAATATTTATTGCCATGCCATCATGTTTTTGCTGTTCATATCACCAATAAGAGGGCTGTAAGTATTGATTATATTGGTACTCGTTGGATTATCTCATTAACAAGATTTAATATAATACAACCTAGACATGATTTAACCAATACTGATGAGTTTGCAACTAAGTTTATACCTTTTACCAATCGAAGTATTTACAATATTTTTACTAATCAAGAGAAGGTACTTGCTAAGAATACTGCAAATTTACTTAAAGATATTAGAACAATTTCTAATAGAGTTAGACATGTTAAAATTAATAATTCACTTGCTTATTTTGTGAAAGAATTGAATAATGAATATCCCTTAGCACAAGAAGATATTGAAGATTCTCTTACTGCAAAAACGAAAAGAAGGCCAAATAATACTAATTACAATAAATCAGGTATTGAGCTTGCTACTAAAAATATATATATATATAGTATTTGTAGCAGCAATAAACATAATTCTAGAAGTTGCCTAAGTAAATAGTCACAAACTGTCCTTAGTATTTGCTTTTTTTTGATCGCCTTGCATTTTTTGATATATTTTTCTTTAAATGTTGTTAATATGTATATTACAGTAGTGATTAGACCCGTGAACCCCTTATTCGGATATCCATATGGTTAACTGGATATCCGGATGTTATAAATGTCTCACAGATAGTAACTGTCATCTGTCAATCTTAAATGGATAACCTAATAGATATCCGCAGGTATCCGCAGTATCTGCGGGTATCTGCAGTATCCAGGTATCTATAGGTATATATTGTTACAAAGTAGTAGCCTTCTTAATTTACTCTATAACGACGACACAGCACAGGGAATCCTTTCGTAGGTATATGCGGTGTCCAA